AACTTTAATTAATTTATTGATTAATTAACACAGATTAGTTTTAAATAGTATTAAAGGTTTAAATCAGCATTTATTTTAATTAGCTAACTAGTTTCGGAAGGTTTCGCCAATTTCACCAGTTTCGCCAATTTCGTCTTAGTTTCAGATTATCAGAAAGTTTCAGATTTTAGTTCTTGAAAGCTGAAACGGTTCGACCTTAAGATTTTAGTTTCGCCCACACCTTTACATCAGAACCTATTTTTGTTTGATGTTACGAGACTATTAGAAAAATCGTTTAAATTGTTCAGATGATCACGTGACTTCAGTTTATAAATCAGCCAATAATCAGTTGAAGCTATATTTGTTTTAAAAAGTAAATAAAATTAAAATTTTACCTAATACTATTTATAACAAATTTATTTTGATTTAAAAATTTTTGATTTGGTAACAAACCATTATTAACTACTACAATGAATGCTTTAAAAAAAAATCATGGATATTTGTATTCAAAGACATGGTCAGAGTCCATCTTTGTTCACTCTCATATGAAGTAGTCAAAGCAAAATTGAAATTTTCGCTAAAATTAACAAACCTATATTCTTTTATATAACTTTTACATATTAATTTCTAGTGTAACATTGAACACTTTTATTAAAGATAAATTAAACTCGACCTAATATGCATTATAAAAAAGTGCTATACCTTTAAATAAAATTATTTAAAGTTATTGTTTGATATATATTAAGATATCAAGTAAAATGTAAATGTAAAAGTTAAATTATAATTTGTATTATAATTCTATAAGTAACGCTACTCATCTGATCACGATATACATGTCTAACATTAAATTTTCAAGATAGTTGCTTTAATATACAATAAGATTTAATGCAAACGTTACAATCATACATTATCAGCAAGTAATTTAAAAAATTAAACGAATTTGGTTTTCAATTTATATTCGAACCTAATTATCGACTAAATATTCATTGAATATTAAACAAAAAATTTAACTTATCTTTATAATTTGACTTACGTTTTGCTTGTCATCTACTGCTAAATTTAATTTAGAATATTTTATTTAAGGAATTACTTGCTAATGATTTTAAAATGTGAGAATAATTAATATAAACCATATTAAGTAATTTTATTAAATTTCTAATATATATATATATAATTTATTTATTTTATAGTTAAAATTAAAACAATTTGTAAGTAAAATTTCTTATTAACCAAACACCATATATTATTTTTACATATCTTCTTAAAAAAGAAGGCTGATTTAATATAAATTTTAAGTCAATTCATTATGTAAACAAACAAAAATAAAAAATTTTTCTCAGCCAAATTTAATGATAATATATTAATATTATTATTAATGATTACGTCATTTCTACTGATTTCTGAAAATATTCTCGGTTTTATTTTAGAAAATTTGTTAAAGCAATCAATGATTATTATTTTTTTACACATTATTATAATTTTGGTATTCAGCAAAATGATGTAGCTTATTAATTTTTATAAATACAAGAATAGTTGCCTGGAAAACTCTCGGGTTTCGACAGGATCATTGGCAAAACTATTATAAATCTTATTAGTAAAGCTGTCAAAACTCGAAACCATAATAAAATCCCGTCATACGTCAAAAATTATATTAAAGTCCTTATTAAAAAATCCGTCGAAATTTAAGTTTTCGACTTTTGCCATTTGCTAAAATGAGTTTGCCAGGCAACTATAAATACAAATTTCTTAAATTTTGCTCTATAATGAAGAGGAACAAAAGTGAAAAGCTTCACAACCTGAATTAATACATGAGTTGCAAATTTGTAGTAACATAAATTTGCTAGTTTACTGTGTAAAAATTATATCGGGATTAAATCTTTTTTGATGATTCATTACTTCATCATTTTCATGAAATATTTGAAATTAATGATAAATAAATTTAGAGTTCGGTCAGTAAGGGCGAACATAAATATAAGTAATTTCATGAGGAGTTAGGAATATCGCAGTTTTTTTCTCGTAGGAAAAAAAACTACGATATCCGATCCCCAAGTTATATTCAGGAGCGTGTGATTTGTGATAATTTATTACTATTGTTATTATCACGTGTTCAATCATTATTTATAGTTTTTTTATACTTTTGATCACATGTATAATAATTATTATTTTTTTTTTCTTTTCGTCAAAAAATTATTTTTCTTCATTTTTTTTTTTACTTACATTTTAAACAAATATCTGAAGATTTATAAGATAAAGATGGTATTATCTTTGCATTTTTTTTAAAAAATATAAATAATTAATAGTTTCATTGAATTTTCAAGAAAACATTATTAATTGAATCAAATAATTCTACTAAAAAGAACTAATTATCGACAACACATGAATGATTGTTATTCCTACTGATAAAGATTTACAAAATAGTCAAGCTTACTCTTGCATTGCTAATACAGATGATAGTACAAAATCTTGGATGAATCTTTTTAATGCTTATAGAAATGCAGCCAATTTGACTGAATCTCAGATGATATTAAATTGCAAAATCAGCTTTGTCAATTCTTTTGTGATGTTAAAATCTAGAAAAAAAGAATATGCACTTTCTTCATTGCATGTAGAATTTGCTGCAATTGCTAGAGGGATATCTGATATTTTTTTATCAAATTAGACTTATCAATATTCATGATAAGGCATAAATGGAAATGGCTTCATGAAATTTTTGACGGTCGAATTAAATATAATTAAGATACATCTGTTCTGTGATTCAACACTTGGAAAATATTCTCAGGATAATATGCTCAAAAATATTATTGCTGATTGTAAAATTGATGCAATGGGATGAAATCTTGTCAATTATTCAATGTGTTCAAATGGAATATCTTTATGGATGTTACTTGATATATCTCATGTAGAACAGATGATATTACAGGACATAGAACACTTGCTGGCATTTCTTCATATTCAACTTCAACTGTTCAACAAAGAAAAAATAATGCTTCACTTCTTATTTTACAAAAAAGAAATATGAATGATCCTATCGAAATTTCTTCTAAAAATTTTCCTAAAAAAAATGAAATACTTTAACAGAAAATACATCTGAAAATCAAGGTACCATAATATTATTTTTAGGTTTTATTACTGCTTCTCAATTATTTCAACAACAACAACATTCATTTGAAATAAAAGAAGATTTAAACATAACAAATGTTTCGTCAAAAATTCCGCAAGTTAATATTGAAAATGTTAATATTAAAAATTGCAATAATGTTAAAGTAGAGGTTATTGTTAAAGCATTAGAATAGATAAACAGATAATATCAGTAATAATATAAATTTATATATCTATAATAAACATAATAATTTGAAGTTCATGAAAAAGTTTATTACTGTGAAAAAAACAGTCTAAAAATATCACGGAGAAAAATCATTTATTTTTATCATTAGGAAATTATGATCAAACTTAGTGCGACGGGGTATAAAAACAATTAAATTTCTATAACATAAAACTTTTATAATGATGGAAACCTGGATAATTTTTTTAATGAAATTTTATAAGTTGTGTATGTAGGGATGGTGACGGTTCACAAGTGCAACTTTGATTCGGTTCACTCAGTTCTATTTTGGTTCTCTTCAGTTCTACTTTGACTCTAATAAAGTAAATTAAACCTTGACTGTTAACCTTTGAGCGTTAAAATTAATTTATGCATGTGATATTATCAATTACATAAATTTTTATGATTGGTTATCAATAACTATCCTTGACCGAATTTAAGCCGACTATTTTGAGCCAGTTCTGGTTCGATTTTTTAAATTAGTTTGTACTAATTCAAGTAAACTAAGTATATATTTGAATTTAGAATTGGTTCCATAACCGGTGTATATTATACAAGCATCAAATAATATAAATATTGAAGTGAGAATTACAAAAAAAAATAATTTCAGAGTTGATTTATAAAAAAAACCAAAAAATTTTTTGAAATTTTTGGAAAACTAAAAAAAAAAATATTTATAGCTAGGCCTAATATTCAAATGTATTCTATTTATTTAATAAAGATACATCCTACCAATTTCAATTTTATCTTTATAAAATTTTCATTTATCAATAACGGTAGATATTTTTAATATTTTCGTATTAAATGTTATGTATTTTAATACCGCCAGAAATCTTTCACAGTAGATTTTGGATTTCCACACAAATTAGCATACGCAATCACGATTTTTATGAAATTATTTTGACCAATTAAAAAGTGGCTAAAATTGAGCAGGAAAATCTGTTCGTTTCAATATTTCAATCAATCATGTCGATTGGCGAGTACCTTTTTTTTTAATTCAGAACATTTGGATCATCAAATTTTTTTCGTTTGTTTGATCCAAACTTCAAATGATGATTTTATTTGCTACTGGATTTTTTGACGTTCGTGGCCTAATATAACATTTTGAAAAATTTATTTCACTGGACATTATGGTTTATCGTCATAATTGAACAATTGGTTTTGTTCAGCATTTTTCTTAATTCGGTCATATCATTTATGATTGACTTCCTTTCAAATTCATGTAACACTGAGATGTTCCATTAACTAAAAATTATGGGATCCAGTTCATTTTACCGACAAACATTTTACTGACAATCATTTTACCGACACACATTTTACCAATAGGATCATTTTACCGACAAATATTTCACTGATAATCATTTCCCTGACACAATCATTTTATCGACATATTTATTTCACTGACAAACATTTTACCGACATGATCATTTCGTCAACAGTTGATTTTTTTTTTATAAAATTTTAAATTTTAAATTAATCATTAATAAAAAAAATAAAATAAAATAAAACTTTTTATATTTTAAAGAAAATTTAGAAAAATTTTGAT